AACGATTACCGATTGTAGCTAGCAGCCTTCAAGCTGAGCTCACACCAACGATTAACGATTGTAGCTAGCAGCCTTCAAGCTGAGCTCACACCAACGATTAACGATTGTAGCTAGCAGCCTCCAAGCTGAGCTCACGCCAACGATTAACGATTGTAGCTAGCAGCCTCCAAGCTGAGCTCACACCAACGATTAACGATTGTAGCTAGGAGCCTTCAAGCTGAGCTCACACCAACGATCTAGGTGAAATAAGTTACTATTCACAAATCGTAGTACAACTTAAGTGGTTACGATACAATGAGGACTACATCGCTCTAAAGATCCGTAAACATTTTCGTGAAACTGTAATAAAGCTTTTTTGGCTATGGCACGTGGTTTACTCTAGTTAGTCCTAATACTACAGCTCTTCTGGCTGTGGCACGTAGTTTACTGTAATTAATCTTACGAGTACATTTCTTCTGGCTATGGCATGTGGTTTACTGTAATTAGTTTTAAGACTACATATCTTCTGGCTGTGGCACGTGAGTTACTCTAATTAATCCTAATATTAAATATTTTCTGGCTGTGGCACGTGGTTTACTCTGATTAGTCCTAAGACTACATCTCTTCTGGCTGTGGCATGTGGTTTACTGTAATTAATCTTACAAATATATCTCTTCTGGCTGTAGCATGTGCTTTATTGTAATTAGTTTTAAGACTACATATCTTCTGGCTGTGGCACGTGAGTTACTCTAATTAATCCTAATATTAAATATTTTCTGGCTGTGGCACGTGGTTTACTCTAATTAGTCCTAAGACTACATCTATTCTGGCTGTGGCATGTGGTTTACTGTAATAAATCTTACAAATACACCTATTTTGGCTGTGGCGCGTGGTTTATTGTAATTAGTCTTAAGACTACATATTTTCTGGCTGTGGCACGTGGGTTGCTCTAATTAATCCTAATACTGCATCTTTTCTGGCTGTGGCACGTGGTTTACTGTAATTAGTTTTAAGACTACATATCTTTTGGCTGTGGCACGTGGGTTACTCTAATTAAACCTAATACTACATCTTTTCTGGCTATGGCACGTAGTTTACTCTAATTAAACCTAATACTACATATTTTCTGGCTGTGGCACGTGGTTTACTCTAATTAGTCCTAAGACTACATCTCTTCTGGCTGTGGCATGTGGTTTACTCTAATTAGTCCTAAGACTACATCTCTTCTGGCTGTGGCATGTGGTTTCCTCTAATTAATCTTAGGACTGTTTAGTTATTGGATTTTGAAGTTATATATGCCTATAGCGTAAGCGAGTGCAATCCATGAAGAAACTTCAAATCCCGTGGAGCCTTCTTCGACTTAAATTCCTCGAAACAAGCGTTCATTTATTTTAATAATGGTATTCTTTCATTGTTTTTATTATTTTCTGTTGCAGGATTTTCAAGAAGTTCCAATATTTATTAAACCCTAGACAGGTGTATAATCTGACTAATGGTGGACCAATGCAGGGGTAAGTGATAAACCTTTAATTTCTTCCGTTCCAAACGTCTTGATCGATTTAAATCAAAGAAGTATTAATGGCATTTTAAAGTCCTTTTATAGAGCTAATCTGTCTTCAAAGGCTAGTTAACTGACGACTATAACTGACGTTTTTATGGGCTACATCTGCTTGGAGTGGACAACGTTTCCGTCTCATCGATGAGACCCCAGGCAGGTATAGACCATAAAAAATTTAATTCCAATAAAGTTCTATTCTGCCCAAAATATTCTTGTTTTTGTTCAAATACTACCATTAATTTAAGATTCCGAGAATTTATAGGATTACGGTTTTCTATTTAATACATTATGAATAGAAAGTTTTATAATTCGAAAATTACTTCTTTAATTTGTAATCAGTAGTTGTGGAAATTTTGTTGGGAAAGCTGAAAGACGCATCATGAGTTTTGGGTGATACAGTAAATGAATAATTCGTGGAATGGCATTTTTTAACACTGCACAAACGCAATTCACTTGACAAATATACGTTTCTTTTTTATTCTACATATCAGGGTATTATTTTGAGGCATAGAAACAGTAAGTCTAAAAATGCACCTACGATCGTTTCATTAGATCTGAGAATTTCAACAAATACCCCGAAGGAAGAGTAGGAACAAGTTTTAGTAAGTTAGAAATGACACCTTCTAGGAGACCCTAATCATATCGTATTTCCATAGGTTGCAATTTTACAAGGATGTCCCGAATTTCCGAGTGCTTTGCTGTGGTGGGGACGGAACTGTTGGCTGGGTCTTAGACACAATTGGTATGAAGAAAATGTTGATAAGTTCTTTATTTGCAATTATTTGGGGGCTCTGTGAATTATAAGAAATTAGAACCAGACAGTTTAAGAAATTATAAACAATTTCACTCGTTTGAAAATTGAATTCTATCTTAACTTTTGAAGTTTATAATTTTGTTTTATAGAACGAAATGTATTTAATTGAATATATATGTATATTGTAATTAAATATATTGGACTATTGAACTATGAATCAATATGTTTGTGTGTGTGTTTTTTTTTGTTGTACATAAAAATGTATTTTCTCCGTACATTGTTACTAAACCTATTCTAGTTTAATAAATTTTGCATATAATTATACAATTCTTTGTTCTTGGCTAAACTATGTCGCTGTCAAATATTATTTTGTCCCTAAAATTACCGATTTGTATTATCCAGTTCACTACCGGTGAGGTCTGTATAATGTGTCATGTCCAGTTTTATCCCGTTCATTACCGGTGAGGTCTGTATAATGTGTCACGTCCAGTTTTATCCCGTTCACTGCCTGTGAGGTCTGTATAATGTGTCACGTCCAGTTTTATCCCGTTCACTGCCTGTGAGGTCTGTATAATGTGTCACGTCCAGTTTTATCCCGTTCACTACCTGTGAGGTCTGTATAATGTGTCATGTCCAGTTTTATCCAGTTCACTACCTGTGAGGTCTGTATAATGTGTCATGTCCGGTTTTGTCCCGTTCACTACCCGTGAGGTCTGTATAATGTGTCATGTCCAGTTTTACCCAGTTCACTACCTGTGAGATCTGTATAATGAGTCATGTCCAGTTTTATCCCGTTCACTACCCGTGAGGTCTGTATAATGTATTATGTCCAGTTTTATCCAGTTCACTACCGGTGAGGTCTGTATAATGTGTCATGTCAAGTTTTATTCCGTTCACTACCTGTGGGGCCTGTATAATGTGTCATGTCCAGTTTATCCAGTTCACTACCTGTAAGGTCTGTATAATGTGTCATGTCAAGTTTTATTCCGTTCACTACCTGTGGGGCCTGTATAATGTGTCATGCCCTGTTTTATCCAGTTCACTACCGGTGAGGTCTGTATAATGTGTCATGTCAAGTTTTATTCCGTTCACTACCTGTGGGGTCTGTATAATGTTTCATGTCCAGTTTTATCCCATTCACTACCTGTGGGGCCTGTGTAATGTGTCATGTCAAGTTTTATTCCGTTCACTACCTGTGGGGCCTGTATAATGTGTCATGTCAAGTTTTATTCCGTTCACTACCTGTGGGCCTGTATAATGTTTCATGTCCAGTTTTATCCCATTCACTACCTGTGGGGCCTGTATAATGTGTCATGTCCAGTTTTATCCCATTCACTACCGATGGGGTCTGTATAATGTATTATGTCCAGTTTTATCCCATTCACTACCGATGGGGTCTGTATAATGTATTATGTCCAGTTTTATCCCGTTCACTACCGATGGAGTCTGTATAATGTGTCATGGTCAGTTTTATCCCGTTCACTACCTGTGAGGTCTGTATAATGTGTCATGTCCAGTTTTAATCAGTTCACTACCGGTGAGGTATGTATAATGTATTATGTCCAGTTTTATAAGAATTCGTGAACTGGTGAACAATAGTTTATAAAAATATGTGATTATTATTTTGTAGAGAACTGAAAAAGATAAACATTGTGGGAAGTTTAGTGACTATTTAAGAAAACTTTCTGAGTTGTGAAAACAAAACAAGAACCTATTTTCTTATACTGGTAATTCTTTGTTTAGTTAACAAACTTTTTTTTTTCATTCTCATATTTTAAACATGTAGACAAAATGAATCTGCCTCTGGCGCCCCCTGTCTGTATTTTGCCACTTGGTACTGGAAATGATCTCGCAAGATGTTTACGTTGGGGACCTGGTAAGTAGAAATATGACGTCCCCTGTTAACACAGCCTTAAGTCTGAGGGCTTATATCGTTAGAAATCGGGTTTCGATATCTACGGTGGGCAAAGCGCAGATAGCCCATTGTGTACTTAATAAAAAAAAGACAGTGAAAATCAAAATTAAATGTTCTTCAATTGTTGTTTTTTCATATCAAGTTTAATTTGAAACTAAAGTTCAATCTAAGCCTAATGACACCTATTAAGAAGAACTGTCTATGAAAAGTCAAGCTGATACATTGTTCTGTGTATTTTACTTTTTATTTAATAAAAAAAAATTAAGTAAAAATATATACTTTCACCGTTATACACTTTATAATAAAATACATTACAAAATCAGATGACAGGTGAAAATTGTGTTTAAATTATCAATTGTTTATGTTTCAATGTTACTCATTAATTTCAACAAATTTAACTAGCACTTACCGCCATCTGGTGCATAAATCTTCACCCCTGAATACCTAGTAATTTAAATTAGTGTAGGGATAGAAGGTGGAACTTTGACGTATTAATTTTACAAATAAAACGAGATTTTATTTCTATAAATCATTGTTAACAATTAAAAAAAAGATTACTTGCTTATTTAATATTTATTTAATGATTAGAAAAACGCGATGTTTGGTCTTAACACTGGAATACTATTTCATTCGTAAATCGACTTTCAGTTTGTTATTAAAGTCGGACGTGTCACTAAGAAACTCTGAAGAAAGAATGTTTCTTGTACGTTTTAGGCTATGAGAATGAAAGTCTGGACAAGATATTGAAAAAGATAGAAAAATCAACGACGGTGCTAATGGACAGGTGGAGAATCGATATTACTAGCACGGATGACACTGAAGAAAAAGGAGATCCCATACCATGTAATATCTTCAACAATTACTTCTCCATTGGTGTGGTGAGTGGCTTGTAGTCTCTCTGTTAGTTTAAGTTGTGGTTTGTAGTCTCTCTGTTAGTTTAAGTTGTGGTTTGTAAACTAACAGAGAGACTACAAACCACAACTTAAACTAACAGAGAGACTACGTTGTGGTTTGTAGTCTTCTCTGTTAGTTTAAGTTGTGGCTTGTAGTCTCTCTGTTAGTTTAAGTTGTTGTTTGTAGTTTCTCTATTAGTTTAAGTTGTGGCTTGTAGTCTCTCTGTTAGTTTAAGTTGTGGTTTGTAGTCTCTCTGTTAGTTTAAGTTGTTGTTTGTAGTCTTTGTTAGTTTAAGTTGTGGTTTGTAGTCTCTCTGTTAGTTTAAGTTGTGGTTTGTAGTCTCTCTGTTAGTTTAAGTTTTGGCTTGTAGTGTCTCTGTTAGTTTAAGTTGTGGCTTGTAGTCTCTCTGTTAGTTTAAGTTGTGTTTTTTAGTCGATATTACTAGCACGGATGACACTGAAGAAAAAGGAGATCCCATACCATGTAATATCTTCAACAATTACTTCTCTATTGGTGTGGTGAGTGGCTTGTAGTCTCTCTGTTAGTTTAAGTTGTGGTTTGTAGTCTCTCTGTTAGTTTA